ACAAAAAAATAATAATACATTGAAACTAAGTTGTTTCATTCAAATTAGGTTGCTGAAGCAGGCAGAAAAAATTGAAAGGAAAAAGAAGAGACAAGTAGAAAAAGCATGAGATGGTAGTGCATTAGGCGCATTTTTTGGTTGGAAGGGGATTTAAGTAAAATCTTTGTTAATTGAGGTTAACAGCTTTATGATTCCACAGGCTATGTATATGCGATTCTATGATTAGATTGAGCTTAGACGCACTAATATTGCGTTACACAAGATCTAAAGTCAAAGTCAAATTTTATTCAGGGTAGATCATAGAAACTAGCCTCTTATAGCCCCTAAATCAGCACGGAACTGTTATATACTTGAATTTAAAGCCAGCCAACACAAAGCGCAACACCAATTGACCAAAACAAGCACAATTCTCTACAAAAAACTGCACGTTCATGAATAAAATTGAAAAGGAATAAAAGGAGACTAGGACGAGATATAAAAAAAGGAAAGAATAAGAATGAAAGGAAGCAAATAGAATGTCTTTATTCATGCTGAATCATGCACTGCAATTTTCAACTTCTCTTCCCAATTCATCATCACACACACCCGGACACGATGATTGTGGATGATAAGTGCAATGCAGGAAAAGCAGTTTTGCATGAGCGCCATTCAAAATTTAAAGTATAAAGAAAGGAAAATTTGAAGGCAGAGCACAAACGTCATTTCAAATAGCTCAAAAGAAATCAAAATGTAATTTACAATTGTATGTAGTCGTTGTTGACTCGACATCGGCATTTAATTCGCATGCAGAGGCAGTTTAACGCTCTTTCATGGCATTTTCAAGCGATGCCCTTTTTCAATGTTAGAAGCAGTGCTAGTAATGTAGAGGGAAAAAATATATACAATTTTTTTATTCTCCTGAACAATAGAACGGATCATGAATACGTAATTTTTTGCTTTTTTTTTGTACAACAAACTTTCGCATTGCGTGTTGCGTATGAACGGAGAATATACAAAAAAAAAATCAAAATTATTCCCTACGGTCGGCAGAAAAAATGCACGAAATTAAGGCGAAGGAAGGCAATGACTGTGGTTGGAGAGTCACAATGGGTGGCTGGTAGTATTTAGCAAAGCAAACAAGGCTTTAAATTTAATGGGGAGTTATGAATAGCTTAAGGTTAAGTCATTCATGGTGATCGAGGTCTGTGTTCGAGATTTTTGTAAAGTTTAGTGGATTGATGGCAAACTCGTGTGCTGCGGCAAACTAGTACGTAGGGTTTCGGTCATGGTTTACTCCTAAGCCGTGACTCCGCACAGAAAAAGTTGCTCACCACTGGTTTAATGACATTGAACATCAGAAGAACCATCCAGATCCTCAAATCTAAGCGCATGTCCACCAAAAATCATGCAACTCAAATCACAAATAATTTGAAAAATTAAAAATCACTTCCAATCATCCCATTCCTCATTCAAACCTCTCTCAAATGACTGCTTTACATCACTGCATATAATAATAATTCATTTTATTAATTAGTGTACAGGGAATATAAAAACGGACTTTTTGTATTATAATTGGTCCCACTGCAGTGTAGAGAAGAAAAAACGAAGAAAATTTCTGCGACCAACAACATTATTTCCTTTGCTTTCTTAATGTGGTCATTAATTTTAAGCGCACGCTTTCTATTCCGTTTTGTCGAGAGAGTTTATGCGAAATTTATGTATTTTGATTGAGACTAAGTTTGTTGAGTTCCTTCGTGTTTTGTTGGATTGAGACTTTCGTCTAGAATTGATGGTGGTTGAAAGTCATGTCTTTAAACATCAATGAATAAATTTTTCATATTCAAAAAAGTAGAAGATTCAAGTGCGTCATCTCTAACTTGAAGCACCTCCCCTCACACTCAGCATCAAACTTCATCGTCCAAAAACATAAAATTTTAATCTTTCTCATGAAATTTTCAACAGATTATAAAGAAAAACTTCTCTCAAATCTCCAAAGTACCATCACATTGCATTCCTCTCATGACTCTTGGAAATAAAAATAAGTTCCGAGACAGTATAACCTCTAGCAAAGATCAAGAGAGAAATAAGACTGAAATCTCTAGTGAGAACTTTTAATTACTTCAAAATAATTCTTTCATTTTCATTTCTTCAGATTTTCTTTATTCCATTCTTTTAATCCATTTTGAAACACAATTAATCAACATTGCCACGACAAGAGTGAAAAGTCGAGCGTAGGAATGAAAAGAGAGGAAAGGAAGAACTTTAAAAAATGACTTTTCAACTTTTTCGTGAAGAAAAATAAAAAGAAGGGAAAAATCTCAAGTAAAGAAAGTTTTGAGTTGTCTAGGGCTAAAGCGCATTTAGAGTAAAGATGGATTTGTCAATTGTATTTAGTCTATGCCGTCTGGAGATCTTCTTATTTCAATCCTGTAACAACAAAAACAGGTTTAAAAGGCTGTCAAGGACAACCATTCTAGTTTTATTTGCCTAATACCCCAAAGTGTAGTAAGGTGCCCCTGGTAGAGCTAGAAGTTGACCCAAGAACCTAATCAAAGGCTTGAAAGCCCTTAGCTCCTCACATCCTACCAACCACAATAGCACTTCTAGTAGCTTAATAGTAAGAGATTGTGACTAGAAATCAAAACACAAAGGTTTGATCCCCCCTCCAAGTTCAAGAATCCATAAAGACACAATAAAACTTCAAGTCACAACTTCCTGAAACCAACTACTCAATAAAGAAAAACTTTTTTCCTTATGAAAGTTTTCCTTAAGCAAATTTGACTTTCTTTCTTTCCTTATTAAAAGAAAATGAGAAATGAAATTAATCCTGATTTGTTGTTGAACGACAGACATGAATGGCGTGAGGTGATGAGGAACAAGTGAAAAAGTTTTATTATTTGTGAATTTTAAAGAAATAAAATGTGCAATAGTCACACGAGCCACACTAATCTGAGTGTTGATAGCCACATGCACACGCATTGAGGACGATATCAATTAACGAAAAAAATGTTGCATGCTAACCGATCGAATCACTCAGCTGTCCATCAACTGGACGGAAAATGAAAAATAATCTGCAATTGATAATTGCCGCATTGAATTGCAATGATGATGAGAATAATGACGATGATGATGTGAAATGTGATGTGGAAGGTTGGTCTTGTGATGAAAATATTTACAGGGGCTTTCGAAAATATAAACAGAAGGAAATGAGTTTATGGATATGGGAAATTGGTGAATTGAACGCATGATGTACTTAATGAAATTGAAAATAAAAATAACGGACAAATTAAATTTGAATTTTTTGTAGAATCCAGAGTCAGTGATGCTTAAAGTACCAGATGATATATTCTTAAGTTATGCTTGATCTATGGCATCTTAGAGCTTAAAATATGTAAAGCTATATTAAATCGTTACCATCAAAGCTTGCAGAAATGCTTAAAATTCAATCCTCAATATCAATTTATTTTTTCACGGAAATCCTCACCTCAAATTTCTTTTTCAATTTTAAAGCTCCAACACAACTCATTTGATAAATCTCCAAAAGCAATTCGACAGCAAAAAGTGGCAAGAACATCCCCAAACAAATCCCGATTAATTTCATTTCATAATTCAATCCCAATCAGCCATCTGAATAATAAAGCACGCTCTTCAAACGAAAATCTGTTTTTTTTTTGTTAAATAAAATTGATAATGGAAATTCCAATTATTTTGCGCACGAACTGAAAATGAAATTGAAATTAATACGAAAACCAACCATCGAGAAACAATAACAATAATATTTATATTTGTATTATAAAAAATACTCGAAAACCGCATTAATTATTGTTTAATTAAAATGTTAAATTGATATTCTATTTTTTATTTATTTATTTTATGTTTGCCTCCTCATCTCTCTGGATGTTAAATAATTACTGAATATAAAATTAATAATGATTATGTGGTACTGCTTAATAAACAATAGCAAGTGCTGCTACATTGTCTTCTGTTTCCCAATGAATGTAATTAGTATTAAAGCTAATTTGAAAGCAAAAATGTTCTGTATGCTTTAATAAAGCATGCGATGGTAGGTTTATTGGGGATGGAAATTGTTTCTGACTTTGGTATTTCCGATTTTATTTAAACTTTTGGTATTGTCCTATTTGATCTAATTTGATGTCAGGTTGTTGATCCAGCTGTTTTGGGACAATAGCGACTCTCTTGAAGCTCGTCATCACTTTCTCAATCATGAATCATTGAATAAAACTTCTGTGGTATTGAGAGAGAATGACATCTTGGTATCAAGCCATATATAGCCGATCCTGCGAGAATAAAAGGAAGGTCTCATCTGTCAAGTAGTTAAACAACATTCTAGAATTCTATAAACATCTTTTGTAAAGACGTAGGTTCGATTCCCACCAGAATCTGATGTTTCTCATCCATTACTCAGTAAGTAGTCAATTTTACATGGATTCGCACAATGCTATCGACATCAGCAACCCACAAGCGCCATTCCCTTGCACGTAGGTTCATAAAACAGCAATAATAATTTATTACATGTAACAACATTCCAGGAAATTCCTCTTACGCGTCATGCAAATTCCATTAAATGCGACGAAAGCCATAAATTTCCATCTTCATTTAAAAAATAAGTTATTAAATTTTGTTGTTGTTGCTTTCTGTGTTTCGCTCGATGAAAGTGTGCAAATAAAAGCTGTACAAAATGCAGGCAACCATGCAAATAGTTAAAAGTATAATCCGCTTATGAACTTTTTTTCCATGCTGCATGTACACACAAAGTACATCGAATTTTTAATCCGCAATTAATTTGAACTCTATAATGTAGATGGTTGAGACTCAATACAGAGCTGTGGGAGTTTAAAATGGACATGAAGGGATGGGAGTCGACAGTAAAAAATGTTTTAAAAATATATTGCTGCTGTTGAATTTAAATTGAAAGTCTGAAATGCTTTGAGCAGCTTTGAGGATTTTTTTTCAACATTTTCTATTTATTGCAATTTTATTGAATAGATTTAATGTGAAAGTTGTTACGAATTTTAGAGGATTTTCTGCTATTTTCTGATAGAATTGTGTTGCAAAAAGCTTCAATTAATGTAAACTAATTAATTTAATTTTTAATGAAGGAATTTGTTGATTTACAAAAGGTATTTTTTGAATTGGCTTTAGAAATTATTTCTGGTCGAACGAAGTTAAATTTTTATTCAATTTTCGAATGTTGGATTCGAAATTAAGTTCGAATTTCGAGTTAAAGATCAAAATCTAGTTCGAACTACAGTTAAAATTTCAAAAACTAGTTCGAATTCTGTTTAAATTTCAAAATTCAACTGAAAGTTAAGTTCGAAAAATTTCAAATTTTTAACATCCGTTAATATTTTAAAAGTTAAGTCTTAACCTAATTAGCCATTTTATACACTTTCAATTCATCACTCAATTCTGACCACGGTTTCGAACTCTATTTAACCTTCCTTCCAACTCCTGTTTCTCCTGAATCAATGACTGCACATTAACTTCATCATTGTTCTTCATCCACATATAAAATTGAACAGCATCAGTGAAAATTGAGTAGGCATTAAAGTCACAACTGTTAATATTGTTTGGTAAAGATGCAGACACAATTCCACGAAGATAATAAGTATGATTTTTGAATACAAGCAATCCACTTCCACCGTCTCCAATACATACTCCAGTTCCATCAGCTTTACCACCGCAAACTGTTCTGTGACTTAAAAGACCTTCATATTTATGATTTTTAGAACAATTATGGTAACCCGTGATTGGAGTGTCAAGAACTCTTGGAGTATTTTCAATTCCTCCATTTTCAGTTGATTCAAATCCAACAACCAAACCTTGAGTCAATAACGCTACATTAGATGCTGGTTCAATCAGACAAATTGGCTTAATGAAATTTGTAAATTCGACGTCTTGATCCAATTCTAAGATAGCTATATCAGCATCATAAGCTTCTACAAATGGGTTCCAGTCGGGATGTAAGCAAATGTTTTTAACAGGAACTGCAATTCTTCCATTCTCATTGAGCTTGCTTAAGTCATAGTGACCAAGAACAACTGTAATATTTTGAGGTAGAAGTTGATCTTCCGATTTTTTGGGTTGGATGCAGTGAGCGGCTAAAATTTAAGACAATTTTTTAATTAAAGAATATCAAATATTGATTAAGAGTTGTTCATAAATGATGTTTGAGACTAGAGATGCAATTCCGGTCTACATCAGATGGAGTTCATTTATAAACACCTTCTTAAAATTATTCAATCCATATGCAATAAAGTTGTACAGTAATGACTTTTGGGGTCAATAACTGATTGTGAAGTTTGCAATTATGTATGAAATCAAATTACCTGTCACAACTTCCTTGTTTGAAATCAAAGTTCCACCACAAAAGTAATTTTCATTAATAATTAGAGCAGCATTCCTGAAAATGACAGAGAAATTGAGAATGTTGAGGTTTCTTCTAAGTCAGTCGATTAATCAAGAGCAGAACTAGATGAAGTTATAACCTTTGGAGCCATTCATTTATTACGTAACGCTTTTAGGGGGGAGGGAGGTCTAAGATTTTGTTACGGTTCAAACAAAAGAAATTTTTTTCCATACAAATTTTGTTACAAGGGGGAGGGGGAGATCTTAAAAGAGATCCTTAGTAGCTCCTAAACTTTATTGAACAAGACTCACCATGGAAAAGAACCTTGTCCAGCTCTTCGACCACCAAGATGATGACCTTGCCTAGATTGTGGCTGACCACAAGTGGAAGAGCTCTTTCTATTACGATTTAAAATCATTGACCCAAACACTTCAGTGCTAATTAACAGCAATAATGTCAAAACTTTTAATTTCATTTTTTTAAGTTTCCTATCTGATGATTCACAACTAAATGAAGCAATTCAGTCAATTTAAGTTCAAAACTGTGCCTGGATCTCCCACAACTGATAATAGAGAGTTGCGAATGTATTATGAAGTTGATCTTTCAAAAAATACTTGTAAAACTGATAAAGCAGCCTCTCTCAAAAACTCATCAGCTGTTTTTTTAAGTGTCAAATCAGCTTAATCATGTATAAGAGAGAAATATTTAACAAACTTTCCTTTGTTTTGATTAGGGGCCGTTCTCTTATTACGTTCGCATTTTAAGGGGGAGGGGGGGTTTGAAAAATTGTAACAAAATGTAACATAGGGAGGGGGGGGTGTCAAGAAGGATGTAACGTTCTGACTGTCGTCTGTCTTTTAAAAAAAAAGTTCACGAAAACAATTTTTTTACAAATTCACACCAAAAACATTTTTTTAAATTTTCCACCTTTTTAATAACTACCTTTAAAAAATTATCAAAATAAAATAAAATATGAACGTTTAGGGGGGGGGGGGGTTGTGAGTTGTAACATATTGTATCAAGGGGGGAGGGGAGGGGGTGAAAAAAGTCGTTTTTTAGCGTAACGTAATAAGTGAACGGCCCCTTATGGAAGAGAGGGAACTGAGAGAAGATGTGAATTTTTAACTCAGATCTTTTGATTTTTTTGTTTACTTAATCTTTTAACGTTTGACTGTGGTAGCTTTATGCCGGTGTAGACTCGTAAACTGGTTAAGTGCGTTGAGCTCAGGGATCGCTCCTTAATAGCTGAAATTGATTGAATTTTGAGGTTAGAATGTTAATTGTGGCTTGTACATAAGTGAACATCCGCTGCTGCCAATTATGCTTAATTATTTACATATTTTCTGATCAATTTGATTGTTTATGATAAAAATCTGCCAAAAATTTATTGAGTTGATTTAGCGCACAAAAAATAATAATAATATTTAATTGTTTTGTGATTATTTGCAGATAATGCAATATCAAATAAAATATCAGTGTTTTTAAAAATAATCTAGCGATTATCATAGACGATAACAACTTTATTGTTGTCATGCAATTTTGTTATTCATAGCTTGTTTATTGAATTAATTCATAAATAAATTTTAAAATTCAAAAACTGACACTAGTGGGAATAAATGCAAATAATTCCATGACTAGATTTTGAAAGAGAAGAGACTGATTTTGTGTTGACACTTTGACGCGATGGAATATTTTATAAGTGGAAGTAGAAGCATTTCGGTATAAACCACAGGAAATTATAACAAGAATAAATTAAGTAGAACGAGGAACCACACGAACATATTGCACATTAATTAAAACGAGATTTTCTACAGTCAATAATGAAATTAATTCAAAAAAAGTAGCAACTCCAGCCTGTCTACAAAAATTATTATTTTAAATAATTACAAAATTGCTCAAAGGCAAACAGAAGGAAATGAGATAATGAGCGAGTGCAAAGTCTATTTTAATGAAATATGGAAAATATTTCAGCATTGTCACTTTCTCTGTCTATTTTTGATGAGAATTGTCTGCAAAAAAGGATACTCGTCTCTGCCATTTCCATTGTCTTTGAATTTTTTAAGGACACACAATCATTCATCATTTTATAATTATCATCTCATTCACTTCATTTTAGGACTTGATGAATAAATGAAAGGAACTCTTTTTCATCTAATTTGTCTAATTATATTATGCATAACAGGTTGGCATGATTTCAATTATTTCTTACGTCAAATTTTCATCTATTTTGAAACTTTTTTGAGGGGTTTAATATCACGTGATGTGTTTAAACCTTAGTTTTAAGAATTCGGAACTAAAAGCGCATTTAAAAGAATTAAATATTAAATTTGGTTTCATTTGGCTTGGCATGAGTTTAAGTTCCCAAAAAAGTGCTAAAAAGATAGCTAAATTAAGCTTAGTACTGCTTAATAGAGCTAAGAAGTGCTGAATTGTTTTACTATTGCTGACAAGCGCTGAATTAAGCTTATGAGGACTGACAAGCACAAAATAGAGTTAATAAAAGCTGAATTGAGTATAGGAAGGCTGAACAATGTTGAATTGAGCTTGATACTGCAGAATTTCGTATATTAGTGCTGAATTAAACTTTCCACCACTGAAAAATGCTGAATTGAGCTGAAAAGAGCTCAATAGAGCTTACAATTCCTAAAAAGTACTGAATTGAACTTATTGGAGCTTATTGCTGCTGAATTGAGCTAATTGAAGCTTATTAGCGCTGAATTGAGTTTATTGCAGCTTATTAGTGCTGAATTGAGCTTATTGAAGTTTATTAGTGCTGAATTGAGCTATTAGAAGTGCTTACAAGCGCTGAATTGAGCTTATTGAAGCTTATTAGTGCTGAATTGAGCTATTAGAAGTGCTTTCAAGCACTGAATTCATCTAGAAATTGTTAACTTACGATTTTTGCTGACTAGCGCCATATTAAACTTATTAATTCTGAATGTAGCACCATATAGCTGAATTTAGCTAATTATTAGTAAGTAATCCTATAATAAGCTTGAATAATACTTGAAATAACTACAAAATTAATTCAAAATACAATAAATTCTGTAAAAATAACTCAACATCCACGCAAACTGAACGTATAAATCCACCCAAACTACAAAGAAACATCATAAAAAGAAAAATCACAAGAAAAAGAGATGAAAAATGAAAGAAGTTCATGGATAAATTGAAAATATTCGTCTTTCTCACCTTTTACCTTGTTTAACTCGAGGCAATTATGTGAAAAGGTATGAAAAAAATTCATTTTCTCCGAGAGCAGCAAATCCTTTTCCATCATTTCTTCATTATATTATATCACATCAGAGAAGTAAGTGGAATGATAGCAAAAAATGCTTAATTTTCGGTAAAAAGGTGATGATGTTGAAGGAACAAAATTTTTCTCGACACAAAAAATTCCGATCACGTTTCATATCGTCTCCTGCTCACTTTATCCATGATAAGTATTACAGTTTTTCATATTTCCTTTAAAGCCAATTAATGTCTTTAGAAAAATGGAAATGCGACCTGAAAAAAATTCTCATCTGTGGTTCTTGGTGATGTCAATGATTGGCCTCGATTTGTCAGTCGTTTGAGCTTGGAAGTAGAGCAAGCTGAGGAAGAGAAAGTTTGAAAATGATGTGACTTTATGAGTCCTAGTGAGGTGGCAACTAGCTGAGGGCTGCTTATGAATTAGTTTTAGAATGACAGCTCATACATTAAACAACTGCCAAGGACGCTAAAACACTTTGTGCCTCAATAGACTTTCGGAATCCTGCTTGTCAATAACTTTCAACTCAAAATAAATTTATTTCCATCAAGTAACTTACAATTTCTCACCAAAACCCACCCACACTTCTGCCACATAACTTTTAAATGACACCCTTAATAGCTCTTTAAGATTTATCACTAAAATGCGCTTTAATTAACAAGGCTCTCATACCTGTCAATATTTTCTGAACCCAATAAAATGAGGGAAGCAAATTTTTTTATAAAAAGTCACATAATTTACCACATTGTTAACTTCTAATTAATTTAAAACCAGTCCCAAACAAAATTACCGCAAACATGATTCCTGAAGAGTGAGATACAAGACATAACAGCGCAGAGAAAAGAGGAGAAAAAGGAACTTTATTTATTTAATTGGTGAATTAAATTAAATTGCCTTATGTTACGATTCAAAAGCCACAGAAAACTATACTACAACAAAAGTTTACGATATGGCGCATCCAAAGATAATATTAAGTTTCTTTCTGTCTCATTTTATTTACGGTATACAGACAATAGCAACAACAGCATGCGATAAGGGAATTTTACAATTTCTTTGGTTACCTGGAAAAAAGAGATTATGAAGAAATTATTGTGGCTGTATGTATACGTGACACAATTTTCCGATTTTTACGTTCTCTTTTTCACCATCTACATATCTATGAAATACAGAACTCAAGTTCGAATTACAGTTACAGAATTGAAAAAAATAAACGCCTTTAGTCCAAATTTGTTAAAAAACAAAAATTAAATTTTCAGAAAATTTCAACGGAATTTTGAATTTTAAATCAAAATCAACCTTGTATAAGTGGCACGTGCTTTCATTTTCGTTTCACTTGAAAAAGTTTTTCAGCAATAAAACGGCTCTTAAGGCTCTTTTATGATTCAAAACTCAATTATCTTTTTCCAAAGAATAGCAAAAGTCATGCGATCAAATTTCCAAAGCTCTAGAGCATCTGATTCCACAATTTTGAGGCTAAACTCCTCCAATCTTCTATTCATCCGACTAAAATGAATAAAATCTCCATTTCTTGAACAGAAAAAAAAAATCCTTAGAAAAAACCATCACCATCTCATATACAATTCAAATATGTAGATCAACTCACACCGGTGTCTATTGCTAGCTTTATCTCTCTCTTGGTATACAAACATCCACAATAAGCTTCTACAAATAATTATTATATTGGATTTTCGATATGCACCTTCTGTATGAATTCATGTTGAGAGTGTAGACGAGAACATTGATGCTTATACATACAAAAGTGAAAATGGAAAGTACACAAAAAATGTTTATAGCATCATCGACAATAATAGCAACAGCAAGCAGCTCTGGTTGAGTGCTTGAAAAACTTTTATTCTGAAATATTTGATTGTGAATTATTTTTCCTCATTGAAACTTTTTCCTTTCCTTTTTTATTTCTGTTCCTCATCAATGTACATTTTCATTGTTCTACACAATCGAATGAACAGCATATGAGGAATCCAATTAATTAGTAAGATTAGACAGAGATGAGTGAAATTGAATGCATAGAAAATTTGTAATGCAAACAAATTAATCAAATCAAAAATGTATATATGCACAATGCATTTCATCAAAACCGCACAGTTTGTTCAATGTTGGGGATGTTGTGCGAAATTTTTTTAATATGAATGGGACGATGAAGTATTGGAATGAGAGATTACCTTCTATTATTATTATGTAGCATACATGAAGGTATGTATAGGCAATGAAACGCATAGAGAATATTTCTAAAACACTTGAGTGGAATTTTGATTATTATCGTCCATACCATAGTTAGTTATTTCAACATACCATTTCATTAAACATTGTATTATATGGACTATAGTTTCAATATTCTAGTATTACAGACATATATGAATAAATTGCGTAGGGGTTATTAAATTTCTGTGGCATATGTTTGTCGATAAAAGGAATTTTGAAATTATTTTAGAAAATTCATACGAAATTGGATGGAATTTGATGGTATTGAACAGATTTGCATTTAGAATACTGAATCCTCGATGGATAAAATTTGCTTCATTGGAACTTACATTGTAACGGTTTTTTGAAGTTTGAATAAATAAATTCTAGATTTTAAGAACACGTGATTTCGAATTTTCTCACTTCAAAAAGTTTTTTGGTAATTATTTTAAATATGAAGGTTTAGAATCTTTCCAAACCAGCTATTTGTCTTATATGAAGTGGCACAATTCGTTCACAAAACATATAAAAACGTAAGTATCTTTATTTTACCCAAATTCTTAAGTTTTTCAGTCAAAAACAATAACATTACATGCCGTAAACTCCATTCATAATTTTATGGAACCCCTATCGTCGTTCATACGTGCGTGTGTTATAAAGAATCTCGTCTAATAATAACAGTATTCGACAGTAATTGAATGTTGTAGATGAAAATCATATCCTTCATCGCAATGAATTTTTTAATGAGAAAATTTTTCTTTGTTCCGTCATTTAATTTCTCCGCATGTATGTACATCAACAAAATAAATATAAAAGCGCACTGAGCTGAGCAAAATCCTTAAAGTATCAAATTTAAAATCAAAATGTATAGATGTTCTTTTATGATAACTGTGCTAGTTCTAATACTAGGAAATCTAGTGTATGCATCAGATAATAATAAAGTACAATTTATTTTAGACTTCCTGAAGGCACAATCTCAGCCAACACATCCCATTATATGGCATGATTGCTTTACCATAGAAGAGAAATTTGAACTTGTCAAAAGCAGTTTTAATCCGACAACTATCAACCGACAGGATTCATTAAATAGAAGAGACTTTGGGGTAAATCCTCAATATTACCTTTTCATTTTGAATCTCGCATGTACACAATCACCGGAAGGGATCATACAAAAGGTAACATCAACAGTTATCATTTCAAAACTCTTTATTAAAGAGGAAAAATTCTCTCTTTTTTCTGAGCAAGTGCTGATGATAGCATTTGAAATGGAGATTGTAACACGAGCAGTTTTGTGGAACGTTTTCATGTTTAATGCATTTTTGTAGAGCAAAGTTTTTTTTTATTAGTGGTGATATCAAAGAGAGATCAAGTTTTGTAGTTATGGGGACATTTAACGACTAAGTTGCAGTGTTGCGATACATATCGCCTGTCACAGGGACAGGTGACAGATCTGTGGACAGATTTGACACATCAGAAAATATTGCCTGTCACAGGCAATCACCTGTCACTTACCTGTTAAAAGGCAGTGCCTGTCACTTACCTGTTAATAGGCAGTGCCTAAGACAGATCCCAACTCTCCGAAGTTGTGTCAAATTTTAAGGAAAATAATATCAACAGAGCATTTGCGTGACATATGCTCTACTCGTCGATTATGAACATCTAATATGAGTCTTGATTGAAATGGCTTCCACTTTTTAAGACATCATTAATAAAAAATAGATTAAAAAGAGCATCAACACTGTTTGAAAAAGTAATGTGCACATCTTGATCAAAACCATGTGTAGCATCTGACATCTCGTTGATGGTTTCTCCAAACATCAATTTTCCCAAACTTTATTCATCCGAAAGGTCCATAAAAATTTATAACTTTTTAACCACTTCTTTATTTTCTACCAATTTCAGATAGACTCGACATTATTTCAACATCCATATCGATGGATAATTTTCACAGAAGATGCTACAATTTTAAGCAGCATAAAAGCTTTTGTTGATAGCAATATATTGATTCCGCAAATGATCAACAATAATGGTGAATGTAATCTAAAACAATTTTATAAAATTGAAAATGAGATTTATTATGAGCATTATGGCAATTGGAGTATAAAATCAGGTATTGTCGATGAGCGAAAGACTCACGTAATATCAAGGAGGAGGGCGAACCTTTATGGGAAATTGATTACAGCGAGCTATGTTCATTTGAACAAGAGCAGCAGGCACCACTTGACGGATTATGTTGATAAGCATGTTGATAGTATTATGAAAGTGAATTATTTGATTGTTAATACCATACTGGATACCATGAATGTATCTAAACAGGAGATGTTTCAAATGACATGGGGTTATTACAATGTTAGAACGAAGAAATGGAGTGGAATGGTCGGAGATATGGTGCATAATGGTGCTGATATTGGGGGTAAGGAATTTAATTAAAGTTTTTAAAATTAGAAATTTTTGAGGTTGAGTTTGAGTTTATTTACATCTGGATGAATTAGAATTTTGCATAATTAATTTGAATTTTTTAACTTTCAACCGAAAATAAGTTTTGAAATCGCAAACACATCCGAACTTCCACGCTCATTTAGGATTGATTCTAAGTAAATCGAACTTCCACACCAAATGAGGAGATGAACTGAGAAAGCCATCGTTCATGCTGAATCCATATACAAATATTCAATAATCACATCGGAAGAACTAGTTCATAATTGGCATAAATTCCAATTACCATAAAGCTTCCAGTTCCTTTCAATAAATCGCTTAATTAACAACTTTACCATGATTAAACCTTTTCATTCCTTTTCCATTTTTTAAAGTCTATGAGTCGTAAATTTTAATTAAATCCATTTCCATTCATATCCAGCAGTTTCTATTCCAATGCACAGCAATTTCCTGATCACGTTCGAGCTTTAATAATGAAATATAATGCAATAACATAAGAGTTCATTTTTCTTCTTTTTTTTTGCTGCCCATCTATATATCATAGGGACGCCTTTATTCATCCAGCCCGACCGTTTACCATACATCCATTACACATCCTTCTATACACCAACGAGTGGGGGTTTTGTCTTTCGTGCACCACAGTTATCAGCAGGTAAGCCAATTTATTTATACATTATTTGCTTTTTCCTCTCAATCGTAGCTTTTTCTTGCCCTCTCCGTGCTTTCTCGAAATGTCTTTCTTGATTAAAGAAACGGAAAAATCGTAAATTGGATAGATAGACATAGACATATAGTACGGTGTTGGATGTGTATAAATTTATATATTTGATTATTTGTCGGATATTTCTTCCATTAGTAAATAAATAATTTTGGAAGCGATGTTGTTTGCTTTTGTGATCAATTTGGGATAAATTTATTGAAAATGACAAATTACTGTTGAAGCTAAAGGGAAGCTTGAATGAGACATAGAAGTGTTTTGTTTAATGGGAATACAGAGACTTGTATCTAAAGGATGATCCATCCCTAAGGTTCATGATTAAGATTATCCTATACTTGATTATAAAGATCTGCATCCCTTAGCCTTGCAGCTGTGTTGTTGCGTCGTTGCAACTGTGTTACATTGTCATTGCAACTGTTTCGCAACAAGATGGTAACACCAAACTGACACAATTAATAAAGACTTTACACACATCCCCTAGATTTACTAAACAAACGGCAGATTTAATTTTTTGATAGCTTTAACTAATTTAAGCATGAAAACATGAAAACATCCTTCCAATTTAACAAACTTCAATCACAAAATCAATCTACATTGTTCCCAAAAATTTCCATTAATTTTCGCACCATCAAATAATTTTCCAGTCCAAAACATCTACACACTCCCATTTAAGCCGTTAGTCTGGCTTAGTTGCCTCATCTGTGTGCTGTTGAGTACAATTTTACTCCATTTAACATCACAAAGTGAGAAAGAGAAGTCAGCCAATACATCACATCACAAAAGAATTACGGACTCTGCATTATCTTCAGTTGCCGTTGTGTGTCAAATGGATGCTTCATTTCGTTCAACTGTCACTTCAAGTCGTATCATTATGGCTAGTATTATTTTGATAGTAAACTTTCAATGTGTCATGTCTGTGTTTGCATTATGCCTTTTATATCTCATCTCATTCTCATATCACCATACACATACATAACATTGAAACGATAGATGTGGAAATAATGTTTATACTATTATAAATCTCAATCATATAGTTCTTCATCTTCCTGACATTCTCATTTCTGTATGCTGCTTATACTGCAAATATTGTATCATTGCTGCAAAGTCCATCGAAAAGTATAAACACAATGGAGGATTTATATAATTCGAAGTTGGAATTAGGCGTGCATGAAGTGCCTTATATGCGGTAAGTGCTATTTTTGGGTATGTTATGGGGGTCGTCTTCAAATGACGTCAATTTTTTAAATAATCAGAACAGCTCAGGAAAAAGAGGATTCAGAATTCTTGTCAATTAAAAAAAATCATTTCGAATTAAGGGGATGGGGGGGGGGGTTATTATCTCAAAACGTACCCCCCTTCCATAGCCACTCTCCTGTCAAAATGATTGTCCCACTTCAGATGAACCAGTATTAACACCGAATCGGAATGACTAAAACGTTTCGCGGCTCACAGTTTTAGAACCACTGCACGAACCAAATTCGAATGACGTCATTACTGCACTTCCCCATTTTATCATCTCGGACTAAAACTTAATTAATTTTGCTTGATTAAAACTGTTATGATTATTATGTTGTGTAATGTGAATCTATACTGTGCTAGAAATTGCCATAAAACCAGTCATCTCAGTAGGATGTTATTAAAAAATTTGGCACTAATCCATAGTCCAGTAGAAGGAAATTTGATCTATAAAATCTCAGTTTAATGACTAAATCTCACGCTTACAACCACTTTTACTGAATAGACTTGAATATCGTTTCTTGTGAACGATTATTATCTTTTGTATGTCTCATACTATGATTATATTCCATGATAATTACCACATGCTAATATAACACAAAAACAATTAATTCTTATTAGTACAAACAACAATAATTAATTCTTAACAAAGCAAATAATCAATTTGTTTAACAAATATTTTTAGGCATTATTTACCAAATATAGATGTTCCATTTTACAAAACGATATATGAGGAAAAGCTGTTGAAGCCTTTTGAAGGTCGATCTGATCATTTTATGTCAGCTGATGAAGGAGTTTCACGCGTCCGAAGCGGCTTGTTTGCATTCATCATGGAAGCTAGTCCGATGTATAAATTAATTGAGGATACATATTATGAGCATGAAAAATGCGGATTGGTTAGTATTGAGTATTTAAAGTTTACTCACCCATATTTGGCCATTGCCAAGGACTCACCGTATAAAGAGATTTTGAGAGTCAAGTGAGTATCTTGTCATGAATTTTCAATGAACTTAATGTGATTGAATTTCGTTTCCTTTTTTTTATCTTTCACATATGTGCGTATGAATAAATAGAATTGTCAAGACATTGGAAGTAGGCATCAATAAAAGAATCCTATCAAGATTCTATACAAAAAAGCCTGTTTGTGTAAATCGTCTTAACTTTCAATCAATAGGCATTGACGATGCTTTACCAGCAATGATGCTTTTACCCTACGGAATGGCATTCGCCCTTATCATTCTAGCACTTGAGAAGATGTTCGCTTTAAAAAGATTTAAAAACAAAATATGCTTAAAGTTTTAAAGATGTTGTTAAAGATATGAAGCCCGAGTGGCACAGATAATAAAAAAAGATAGGAAGACTGTCTCAGCTTCTGTTGTTCGGAACGTGAAATCCCCAAACGCGTGTGTTTTAAAATTAGCTTTGAATAATTGAAGAACAAAAAGCACGTAAATGTTTTATTAGATTAGGTACTTGGAAGAGAGAAGGACTTCATGCGCATCCAATTAAATGACCGCACAAATTAAAAATCGTTTTTAAAGCACTGCATAGCAATCGACAAGGAAACTTAATGAGAAATGTCAATATTTGAAGAATAAACCGTGAAATGTTTACATTGTGTGCAACAGCTTGTTAATAGGAATGAATATTTCAGTTTAAAGTGAATATTGCTGTAATTAACTTGCAATTTATCTCAGATTTAATAAAATAATGTTCTCTTTTTTTGCATCTCAAAAAAGATGCGAAAATTCAAAATTTAAATTGCCGTTATAAATCATAACATTTAACCCCGCAAAATAAAACAGAATCACATAGCAAAAATCGATAACAAAAGGCCAGTCGTTAAGCTAATCTACACATTACCTTCCCACTCCCCACAATCTCTACGTTGTTGCTCTCACAAGAATTTTAAACACAAAGGGACTAAAGATTGAAAAGTAGTTTTTTTTTGTTATTGTTCGAGGGTAGTTGAATGTGCTAACAACGTAGGATGTAAAGAGAAATCTTTGTCCAAAAAGAAATCTCGCAGCACTACAGGAAACAGGAAGGAAAAATTAAATTCTGATCACGTTTTCTCGAAAATTCTATACACTATTGTATGTATATATGTTCAGTCGTTGCCATTTGTATGTGTGTATGTGCATGAAAAGTAGCTTCTTAACTGCTCTAAGGAATAAAGGAACGAAAAAAATTGTTCAGCAATTTTTTTTCACGAAATTCATTTTTATGGTGAAACTTTTTATTTTCACAGGTAGATTGGAAGTAAATTTTATAGCACTTTGTGTAAAATGGAAGTGGGGAAAATTGCAGAGTGAATGTGAAAATTTGAGGTAATGGAGTAGGAGTCAACGATAAAAATCACTGAAATATTGTAAGGTGCAGTGCAGTTTTGGTTACAATTTTTATGTTAAAACAAAAAAAAAATTAACGGCTTTTTGAAATTTTAAGTTTTGAAAGAAATTAGCAAAATTTTTTTGTCACTTCGAAAAGTAATTTTGATATTTTATGGATTCAAGCTTGAAGATTTTAGTTCTTTTTTGTCAGAATTTACTCAAAAAAGTGGCAACAATCTAACAATATATAATAAAGTAAAAAATCTAGCTCCAACAACTGTCAAAATGAATATTTAACTTCATTTTCTTTCATGTCAAATTGACATTTGAAAATTTACATTTATTTCATCTCGTTGAATGAAAAAGTTAAATAAGAAATTTTATTGAACAAAAAAAAATATTTAACATTTAAATAAGTTGAAATTCATGCTGAGAAATGTTTTTAACCTTTTTCACTTTTGGTGTCTCGAAGATTTTTTCATCAAATATTTTTTAAATTTAGTCAAACTTTTTGAGTTTAAAACATAGAAGTTTTTTTGCATATGACAGGTGAACTCTGTAAAGTTGTACTTGCAACTGATTATGCTAGAAGTAAGGTTTGTCGATCTTTATGGAAATTACTTGTTGAAAATTGGAATTAAATTTGAATTTTTTACAATGTCTTCGTGAAATTGAATGTAAATTGACTCTTTTGTGAGACATTGAACTTCAAGATTTACTTTTAGAGTCGTTCATAAGTGATGTCTACCAACATACAATTTTTAAACTCTAGTGTAATAAAGGTTCTGACCCCAAAATTAATAGAACTTGCTCCTTAACCTCAACCATGCTTTCCAAGACCACTTAAATCAGATGATTCAGAAGATTCACTCATTGGGTGAAAAAACATTTTAAATTTATCTCAAAAAATAAAAAAATCTCCAATAAAAAATTCGACAACGATAAAATTCCCAATTTGCTCTCAATATCCAAACATAATGTCATAATAACACTTAAAAATAGCATGAGAAAAAGATGATTTAGATGAAGAATCGTAAAAACAAAATCTCCAATAAACCAAAGTGTTCGTTAAAATTTCTTTTGACTATAGCAATTACATTAAATGCACCAGAGAAATAAAAATTCATCGTCTATGAATTTTCAAAGTAATTCTGTTTTTTATTTTACTTGTAAAAATTCTATAAAAGGAAAAAGTTTTGCTGCATCTAAAAGAAGGAATTGGTAAAGAAAAGAGGTGATTTTGGCGCATTTTGAGGTCAATTCATAATCAAATTTTATATTTAAATAGATTTTAATTTTTAACGGTTTTTTAAAATTCATTGTTAAAGCCCTGCTAAATCTACAATTAGATTTCAAAACTTGTGAAACCGTTATATATAAATTAAATCATTTTTAATTGCAGACTTGATAAGATTCGAACCCAAGAATCCTCAAAATCACAATTACCAACCTTAAGCTTAGTATTATGCCAATTGAGCTATCAAAAAAAATTAATTCTTCGTTTAAAAATGGCTAAATAGCAAAGTGAACCAAAAAGAATCCAATCTAACCTCAAAAAGTAGCATCCAAGAACAACCGAAAGTCAGTTTTCAATTTTTTTTTCATAGTGTAAAATATGTAACATGTTTTTTAAAAAAAAAAAATTCAATTTGAAAACTCTCTCAAGTGTATTATGCAAAGTTTAATCTTAAATATGCACTTTATCGTTGTGAAAAGGCGCTGGGTTATTTAAACTTTAAACTTTATATATTTTTTTATATCCAATCTTATCAAGATTGACTTATCCTACCATCATTCAACTATGTGAAAAAAAAACTAAGAGCTGTTCTGACACATTAATTTGAAAAGTTTTTCTCATTTTCTCATTCTCACTCGAATATATACAGCAAGTTTTCTATTTTGTATAGTGTTCTCATTCATTTTACTTCTTTACCTACCTCCTCCCTCATCCTTATAACAAATTTTTTTTTAAAAAAAAAAGCTTATTTTGATGTAGAATAAGAGGTGCACAGGATATATTCACGCGAGAAATTTAACACTGCATATCATGGAATAAATTTAATATGTAATGTGAGAAGAAGTTGAAATGTATAAAAAAAGATATATGAAACATATATCTTATGTTGCAAGTCCTTGTGTCACATATCATAAAAAGATACAGCGAAAATGTTGCCTTTACATGTCATGCAACTTTTCGTAGAGCATTAAGCAGCAAAGTCATTCAAAAGAGACATTTTACAGACTATAGTAAGGTTGCTTGCATTTAAGGGAGGAATAACAAGCATGAATATTTTAGAGTTTTGAGATTGTCAATCAAACTTTTTTAAAGGATCTGCATATTTTGCCGTGCTTTTTCATAAACTTGCAATTGTCAATGGCTGGACACTTTATCGTTTTTAATTATCTAACCTTATTAGGACCAAACGAACTGCGGAACTGAAAAATTAGATTTTTGTTCATTTTTGATCATTTTTACTACGTTTTTAAACATTTTTGTTCATTTTTTGATCTTTTTAGATATTTTTTGTTAAATTTTGATAATTTTTGATCATTTTGATCAGTTTCGCACCCTTGATTAAGACTGGAACTTTAAAACTTATACTTGGCTGAATAATCAAGCTTCTCAATATCTTGATCTCAAGCGGGAATAAAAGCCGAATCCTTATAGGTTTTAGTCAAATACGTTTCTTCAGCTGTGGAGAGTTTCTAATAAGTTTTGCATTATGATAACATTAAGTTTTGATCTAATGTTTCAGCAACACGTTCCATTCTTTCTGTTTTAGTCCATACCAGGATTATACATTAGCTGAGAGTTGGAATTTTTCTTACAATTATGCAGATCTTGGTATAAGTTAACTGCGCTTCTTTTCGAGGCGACTCAAGTCTCCTTTGAGCTCTGCAATTTTCAGATGAGTGTCAGAGAATGTTGGCCCATGCAAAGCTTTTCAATATTTGAATGTCATGGAATACGTTTTGAAAATTACAAATATAGATAGAGACTCAGATCAACGAGTTGATGGGCGCAGACATTGTCAAATTGTATTATAATGACAAGACACAACCCTGTTAAATACGTTTCATGAACTCCTTGAGCTGCCGTCATTAATAGATCCATTATTGACTGCTGTCTGCCATAGACAAAATAATAATTCTCATAAAATAAAGAAATTAACGCCAATCTTTAACAAATTATAATAATGTGAGAGGGTTTCAGCCAAGCGATGTGTTACGACGAGCTTGAGGCTCTGCGATCCTGACTATTAAAATCTCCATATAAAAACTTATCAAATTCTAAATTAGAAACACCAATTTAATCAGAACAAAGAAATCCTTCTCATCTATTAATTTCTGATGGCTGAATAGAGTTTATTTGCAAAATACTTGAAATTAATAGAAGCAAACACATCAGAATTTCAAGCATAATACTTACAGTTTTGAAAAGCAGCACAAGCACTATTCTCTGAAAAATCATTCAAAAATCTCAATTTCCACATAAAAGAATCAAAACATTTTAATTATTTCATTTGTTGAGATGTCGAGTAAACGACACTCATCATAAGCATACCCGACGAAAGGTTCACTGTCTTCATTGCGATGTAAAAAAATACGAAAAAAAGATTTTCCAACTCGATGAATAATATTTTCAATGTGTAGTGGAAGAAATGTAGACATACATTTCCATTGTTTATGCGAGCATACACTTTTTTGTACCAACAATATCAGCATAAGCTTTATTTTTTGCAATACATCAATCATCAGTTGAGAGTGAAAAAGGAGAAAAAGAAAAAAAAAATTATTTTTTTGTGAAAATTGAAGACTCACTGAAAGTAATCCCCACATCAAAATCCCACCTTTGCACGACACAACATGATGAGAGGGGCTTTATCATTTACACACTGTAAGTCGTGATGGATGTGATGAATTTACATAAATTATGACGCATTTTTCATAGGAAGATGAGATTTTTTCGAAAGGTGTGAACATTAAATTTGGTGGAAATTGAGTTTTTAGAGCTTTGATGACCATCACATAAGCTGAATGGAAGGATATGTTGAGATATCTAGGATGTTATAGTCAGATTGATGAAAACCTTTTTATTTGATCACTAGAAGCTTCTCACAGTTTGCGATTCTGTATTTCATATAGTATCTCAAGTAGGATTCGAACCTACAACCTTACAACCCTACAATTCTCAATCACAAGCGCTTACATATCTCCAGAACTGCAAACCCAAAATGACATCAATCTTAATCATCAACACCACCAAAAAATGCATCTCTTTAAAAATTTCAAATGCAGTCATGAAGAAGCAGGAGCAACAATATGTTTGTGGAGTTAAAATGCGTTTTTTTTTCAATCTAGACCTGTAAATATTCAAAATATGCT